CGCTGTGTAGAGAAGCCAGTTTCTTACAATGTTATGCATGTATTTTCCTTTACTATATATTCATAATGTATAGCATACACTTTCTGCTATAAAGCTCAGGTTGGCCTAGGGATTTTCCTGCTTCTGCCTCTCAAGTGCCATGTTTATAGATATGTGCCGCCATGCCCGTTTTATAACATATATGCTTATGTACAAAAATACATACTTCTAGATAAACCATACCAAAGTTCAGTGGAGAATAAAACCTCAAGGCTAATCCCAGTCTCTCAGCCAATTGGACCACCTTGCATACTTCTCTGAATGACAAGGCCTTGTGGAAGTCGGGTTTGAATGCACTCTCCTCTTTCAGACATTTCGTCTTCAAGTCCTTTTGAGTAGCTGGCATGTCTCTGGAACTAGACTGAACTAGTCATGAATGTTCTTGTTTTTTAACTAGTGGGCCTTTCTCAGAAAGCACAGCTCAGGCAGGGTTCTGCATTACTGTTTTCTAACAAAAAATAATTTCAACTTTGAAAGGTTCAGGCATTACGCTGGCCTGTCCTGTTACCTGGCAGGATGCACTCAGGCAACACTCTGGTCAGCCCAGAGTTCCGTGAGAACCAGGCAGGTGCAAAGGACCCCTTTAAAGGACTGACCCCTGCCCGTTTACGCTCTCTTGCTCTTGCTCTCTCTCTTGCTCTTGCTCTCACTCTCTTTCCCTCTTACACTCTTACTCTCATCTTACTCTGCCTCTCTCTCTGTCTCATATCTTATCTCTCTCTCTCTGCTCTGCACGGGTTGGTTACTTCTCACCCCCCTTTTCCCTCCCCGTCCACCAATAATCCACGTGGGATCGTTGAGTCGCGGTATGTGTCTCCTTACTGGATAAACCTAAACATTTTAACAACAAACTTCCTTAGATTTTTCTCTGATTCTCTACTTAGAATTAAAAACTGCATTGTGCTAGATGTGGTGATGCACATCTTCAATCCCAGAAGCTTGGAGACAGAGGCAGAGGCAAGTGGATCTCTGTGGGTCTGAGGCCACCCTGGTCTACAGTTCCAAGCCAGTCTACATGGTGAGGCTTGGTTTCAACAACAACAAATAACCAAGAACCTTTATCAATTGTGCAAATTAACATTGCACAATTTTTTTCTGTTTCGCACAATCTGCTTTGTATATCTTACCTCAGCATCTATTGCAAACTCCGCTAAAGGTAAAATAAACACTGTAGAGAATGCTGGAGGAATAGCTGCTGTCTCCTAGTTGGCTAGTACTCTCTTACTAATCCATGCTTTATGCAGAATCTCAGCTCCCATTTCTCTCTCAAGGCTCTTTCATCTATAGACCCTGTGTTTACTGTTGACTAAAAAAAAAAAAAGGCAACATTTTGTTGGCTTTCATTAGTTTGGCTCAACCCATTAGCTCCACGAACAATAGTCTAATTGTCAGTGAAATTAGCCTTTGGGCTGCCACTCTATCCCCTTCGATTTTTTCCATTGTTCTGGGGCAAGAGCCACATCCCCAGGGCTGATTTCATTTGTTCTCTCATTTGAAAAACAAGCAGGGTTAGGGTGTCTCAGGGTGGCTAGGCAAAATGGAACCAATTTCTTCAGAATAGAACTCAACAAATGTGGATTGCTTGTCAGAAATGACACCAGCAAATCTAAGGCACTGGAAGGCAAGAGGTCACTTTCTATTGTATGTTTTACATCTAGACTGTGGGATAGTACATGTTTTCAAAATCATCTCTCAAACACCTTCCAAAAATAAAAAGGAAAGAAGGAAGTCCAAACTGAAGGAACTAAAGCTTTGAAGTGTCCCATACTTTTAGATTACTATCTGACTAGACACACTCCAGTGACAGTAAACTCCACAGAGCATTTTGTACTTTTCTTTGGAGTGCTGCTTTTGATTTTAATTAAAAGCCTGGGGCACTGGTAACGTTTGAGCAAACTCTTTTCCTCTCTCTCCTCATCCCCCTCTCTCTTCACCCTGTAACCCTGGCTGGTCTGGCCTGGAGCATCATTTTCCTGCCTTGGCCTCCAGAGTGTTGGGATTACAGGCATGAACCTCCGTGCCTGGCTTGAGTTTTGTGCTGAAGGGAGGAACTGTGTCTGCCTTGGCTACTTGTATATGTGTTCTATATGGCTACTCTTATATATGTTGACACACAGTAGGTGAGTTCAAAAGTGACTAAGGAAGCCGTGCAAAGAGCAAAAGTCCCTTTCTTTTTACAGCAATGACTCTGGCTGGGTGTGGTGGCACATGCCTGTAATCTTAGCACTTGGCCCAGGGATCTGGGGTTCAAGACTAACCAGCCTCTTTGCAAGTCTGAGGCTAGTTTGGGCTAGATGAGACCCTATCTCAAAAGAAAAAGAAGAAAAAGAGGTTATTCTGAAAGGATATAGAGTGTTTGCCCAGCATGTATTATGGAGCTTAATCCTCAGCACTGCAAGAACAAAGACAAACAAAAAAGTGAATCCACGTGACTGATGGGGATTCTATGTGCAGTGCTCCCCCCTTCCCCCTTTCAGATTGCTTTCCCTTGACCCTATCTCATTAGCAGGATCTGCCTCTCATCAAGCTTGCTTCTGCTCTCTAAATAGATGTTTTAGTAGTTGGAGAGGCAGATGAGAGGCACCGGCTCTTATTTGAAGAGGTACAGCTGCAAGATCACTTTATTAAAGCAAAGTTTTATTTGGTGTAGCAGTGTTAGATGTTTGCACCTGTTGCAACTTTGTCGCAAATATTCTGAGTGGACTGGAGGGGAACTCAGTGGCTCAGTGGTTAAGAGTGCGGGCTGCTCTTGCAGAGGACAGAATTCAGTTCCCAGAACCTATGTGGGGCAGCACATGATCGCCTGTAACTCCAGTTTGGGGGGGGGGGGAATCTGACACCTTTTTCTGGTCTCTGTAGACACTCTACCCCCCCACACAATTATAAATAAAAATAAAAAGTTTAATACACAACTGGTATTTCCTTAAGACACTCAATGATTAATTGTTTTTTTCTTTTTTGAGACAGGGTTTCTCTGTGTAGCCCTAGCTGTCCTGGAACTAGCTCTTGTCGACCAGGCTGGCCTTGAACTCACAGAGATCCACCTGCCTCTACCTCCCAAGTGCTGGAATTATATGCATGCGCTACCAATGCCCAGCTCATTAAGTATTCCTAAAACACTTTCTCAAAAGGACTAAGTTTTACAAAAATTTCATTTTAGTTTCTTTTTTCAAATGAATATTCTACTTGCTACAACACATTTTCAATAGCTATTTAATTAAAACTTCACTGCAAACTATATTTAAAAATTAATTAACAAGAAAGATGAAAATGTAATATTTCAAAAACTGGGTTGGAAAGAGACAAAGGCACCAGGGTTTGAATTCACCCACTGCCGTTTCTCCTAAGTGTGGGAGGAGTCTTCTCTGATCATTCTCCATGTCTTCTCTGATAATTCTCCATGGTTGTAACATTTGAGTTCGAAGTCCCTTCTATTTACATAGTCTCATAGGCAGTAACTGTACACAGACTGCCCCACCAAGAGATACATAGTTGGAAGAGGCAGGGTGGCCATAGATTTGCTCATACCTGAGCATGAATAGGCAACTGGATCAATGCAGAAGTGACATTGTGTCTGAAAAGTAACACATCCCAGACCTCTCCACATCAGGCAGGGCCTGGCTGCCTGGCCACTCAATCATAGGTCTTAAGGATACTACCTTATACCAGACAAGGGACAGTTAGGGAGCTTCAGTTTAGTAGATGAAGGAAAGAAAGAAGGAAACCAGGCTGCTTTTGTTTTGTTTTGTTTCTTATTTTACATGTGTGGGTGTTTGGCCCTCTTGTAGGTCTGCACCACACACCTGCCTCATGCCCACAGAGGCCATAGAGGGCATCAGATTCCCTGGAACTAGAGTTACAACCAACTGTGAGCCAGCAGGAATGCTGAGGATCAAAACTAGGCCCTCCAGGAGAATAGTAAGTTCTCTTAACCACTAAGTCATCTTGCCAGTCCCTCTGCTTTTTGAATGAATATTATTAATTTTTGGAGACCATATGTATAATGTGCTAGCACACTCTTTAATTCCAACACTCAGGAAGCAGAGGCAGGTAGATCTCTTATGATTCAAGCCTAGCCTGATCTACATAACAAGCTCTAGGTCAACCAATTCTACATAGTGAGAGCCTGTCTCAAAGGATAAAAAAAAAATAGTTTGGGGTTAAGTACACTTGTTGTCCTTGAAGAGGACCAGAGTTCAATTGCCAGCACCCATATGTTGGCTCATAACTGCCTATGACTCCAGTTCCAGGGAATCTGTTCCCCTTATAACTGCATAGACACCAAACATGCATATGGTACACATACATACACACAAGCACAACACACACAAATAAAATTAATAAATCTAATATAAACTTTAATTTGTGGGTGTGCATACGTTGCATGTGTGGTGGTCAGAGACTAACTTCTGGGAGTTGGCTGTCTCCTTCCTCTGTGGGTTTCTGGGATTGTACCCAGAGATTGCACTCGGGCTATCAGGTTTTCTAGGCAATGAGCCCTCACTCCAGCCTGTGAAAGCATCTTTTGACAAGAGCAGCTCTTTTGTATGTCTTTCAGGTCTTCATGGGCTAGGGTAAGGACCCAATGGGCTGAAACTGCGCAGACTAAACACTTGGAGCTGGACTTTCAAATTTCGAAGGAAGTGCTGAAAACCATGAGATTCTTGCACTCAGGTATTACCTCTGAGCCTGTGATGATGCACATTCAATGGGTATGTGGCTGAGTTTGGGCACTGCACATTAGCCAGCAGACTGTAAATGCACCATGATATTAACAATGAAGTTAATACCAGGAAATTACACTTAGAGAATTTTTTTTAAATAGTAGGGGATAAGCTGGTTTGTTTTGTTCTTGTTGTTTGGGTTTCATTTGTTTGTTTATTTTTGTTTTTTTTTTTTGAAACAGGGTCTCTCTATGTAGTCCTGGCTGTCCTGGAACTCACTTTGTAGACCAGGCTGGCCATGAACTCACAGTGAGTTGCCTGACTCTACAGCCAAATGCTGGAATTAAAGGTGAACACCACTATGCCCAGAGAGCAAGTGGGTTTTAACTGGCCTTTTCACTTTACTTGTTTTTCCTTCTCTGTTTCTACTCAGCCAGGGACCAGGTTGCTTTCCCATTCTCTGCCTGCTTTTTGCCAGGAAAGGCTTATGTTAAAGAGGCGGCCCATGATAGAGAGGAGCCTGATTCTCCCGCCCTGCATCTGCATCCCACATTCCCACCGCACACTTCCATGTTAGGCACACTTGCTAAGGATGGCCTCAGAACCATTCTTAGACCATGGCACTCCTTTGTCTATAGACTCACCATTGTATTTCCCCACCCAGCATCTTGTCCTGAACCTCTGTGAACCACAATAGCAATCTAAGAATGCATCCAGAGTGTGGTAACCATGGAGACTCCATCATATGTAGCAATAATAGGAACTGAATATTTACCCCAAGAAGAGTTAATGTGTTATGATAATTACCACTGAAACACTTGTTATGAATGTTAGCTTAGACACATTCTGTACAGTTCTCTGAGTCCTGACTAGGAAAATAGGAAAACTGAGAACTCTCTCTGTCTCTGTCTCTGTCTCTGTCTCTCTCTCTCTCTCTCACACACACACACACAAATTTGTGCTAAAGACACAAAAAGTTTCTAATAAAATAGTAACCTTGTAAAATCACAAATTTCCAGCCATTAAGAGTATTGAAACAGAAGACAGACTTTACTGTTTGATAAAGGAGAATATTCTATTTGTGTGGATCAGAATTCATTTCCATTTGTTTTAGTTTTTTAATTTTTAAAATCAGGGTCTTGCTATATAGCACTGGCTGTCCTGGAACTGCCTATGCAGACCAAACTCAACTTGAACTTACTTATTTATTTATTTATTTATTTATTTATTTATTTATTTATTTATTTTTGCTGTGAATTTTACTTATTTACTTTTTTAAATTTTATTTTATATTCCAACCACAGTTCTCCCTTCCACCTCTCCTCCTGCTCCCTTTCACCTTTCCCCTAGTCCACCCCCCAATCCACTCCTCCCAAAGGGTAAGGTCTCATGGGAGTCCACAGAGCCTGGCACATTAAGTTAAGGTAGGATCAAGCCCCTCCCCACTGCATTAAGGCTGAGCTTGGTATCCCACCATAGGGAATGGGCTCCTATAAGCTAGCTCATGAACCAGGGACAGATCCTGTCTTACTGCAAGGTGGCCCTCAGATAGATCAATTGTCTCCCACATGCAGAGGGTCTAGCTTGGTCCCATGGAGTCTCCCCAACAGTTGGTCCAAAGTTCATGAGTTTCCATGAGCTTGGTTCAGCTGCCTCTGTAGATTTTTCCTTCATGATCTTGACCTCCCTCGCTCATTCTCTCCTTCTTCTCTTCAGCTGGATTCCTGGAGCTCAGTCTGGTGCTTCGTTGTAGATCTCTGCATATGGTTCCATCAATTATTGATGAAGGCTCTACTACGACAGTTGGAGTATTTTCAATTTGAACTTCTAACAATAGCAATCCTCCTGCCGCTATCTCCCAAGTGCTGAGATTACAGGTTTGCACTACCATGGACTCAATCTCCAAATTCATTTTCATTCAATTTTCTGTTCATTATTCAGTGAATATTTATGGAGAACCTACTGTGTGGATGGTGCTTAAACAGTGTTGGTACAACAACAAATTCGCCAGGAGCTCAGCGTAGCAGAGTTGGGCATTGAGCAAATACACTGCAATGCAGGGTGTGGGGCATAATAACAGAAGAATGGCCCAGTTGATATCTGTGCCAGAGTGCTCAGACTTTGCGTTGTCCTAGCTGACACTAAGTGGAGCATCAACACGCTCTTTGCCACTCCCAGCCTCTATTAAGCAGTGGGTTCTGGAGCAGGCTGCATGCTGCGGTTGTTTTAAGCTCTATATTCTAGGGCTGTTTATTATGAAGCAATGGAACAACTAGAATGAGAATGAGATAAAAACATCCACATAAAGAAATGGTAATGGTTGCCTTGCAAGTGCCCAGTGCTTGCAAGTAGTTACTATTAGGGCTGTTTTATTATCAGCTACCATCATGATAAAAATGATAGATTTAAAAGGCATAACATTAATCTATCTTGGCTGTCCACTTGCATCTCACTCTGTCTCCTGGATCCCCTCTTTCTTCACCTGCTGGCTGCCTGGCTCAAGGTCATTGAAGTAGCTAAGTACCTCACATTCTGTTGACTTTACCCGGTCTATTTCACAACTTCCCCTTCAAGCTGCTTTCAGATTGTCCCTTCAGATCTATCCTTCAGATCTATTCTCTTACATAGCAACCAGAGAGAGCTTTTTTTTTTTTTTTAATTCAGATACGTCCTACTTAAAATCCTTCAGTGGGTCGCACGGTTAGGATACAGCCTCCGGCCCTGAACTTGGCGTCAAGCCCTGTGCAATCTGCTCTCTGCTTACCTCCCCAGGCTTATCAAAGCTTACTGTGCTGCAACAAGCCTGGCTAGCCTGTACCTACTCTCAGGTCTGCCTCTGGGTTCTGGAACATGCTGTTCTCTTTGATCCTTCGAGTTTCTTAAGGGTCTTTTAAGGGGTTGACTCTTCCTGTTGCAGGGCTCCACCTCAGGCCTCATTTGCTCACGGCAGACCCCAGCAGCACATTTTAAATGGTGAATAAAAGATAACTAGTGCTGATTTGTATTATTGTTTAGTTATCTGTTTAATGTCTGCCACTCCAAAGATGAGAATGATTTCTTCACAGCCACGTTTCCTCAAACCTAACACCTAGGAGGCGAATGAGGGTCATATGGGTTCGTTGCGTAGGTGTGTTTAGTGTCTTGACGTTGCATTGTATTGTTCAAGTTCACAGCCAAGTTGAATGGCGAGTACAGAGAGCTCCCTTAGGGCCCCTTCCCCTACACTCTCAGCACTCTGTGTGATGATTCATGCTCTTAAAATGTCTGCTGCACTCTCTAGTGTCTCTTGACCTGGCCCTGCGAACTCAGACATGTGGATGGCAACCTCACAGCATGTGTCCCTGCATCCAGCCATCTATGCAGTTCAGGAAAGAGGACTGCCAGAGGGTCTTTATGAAAAGGCACTCTCCGCTCTGGACAAAGAGCATGTCAGGGACTTCGGTGTGCTGGGTACCCCAACTTACTATGGAAGGAGGAGGTGAGCTGGGAGTAGGGATGCTCCTTGCATTCCTGGGCATCCTTCTCCTCCACAGAGATAGGTACCATGAGTGGAAACAAAGGAACTCTTTTATTACCCCCACCCTGCCCTCTCATTCCCATTGACTTCTCTCCAAGCCCTCGCAGACACTGGAGCCGTGTGTACTGGCCACAGAGGCAAAGGGTGCCTGGACAGTACATGCCTCCACCCTAGCTCTACAGCAGGAAAGGAAATGAAGAGGAGGGGTGGACAGTAGGATGGTTGTGAGAGTGGCTGCCAACTGCTACAGGAAACCAAGAGCTGTGCTTAGAAGTTTCTTTCTAATTTAGTATACACAGGCACACCTACCATATTACACAGATGTTTCCCCACAAAAGAATTTAACTAAGAAACAAAAATATCGGTCTATACAAGGGCTTGCCATGAAGAAGTATTTCTTTTTGTGATATCTCTAAGCTACGAACAATCTAACAACTCCCAAAGACTAGTGAATGAGCAAATTACGATGAATCCATACCATGGGATGCTGTTCTGTAATAAAAATGAATGAAACGGTAACACATCAACACTTACGTGAACGAAGCCAGAGCTACAATAAAGTACATGCCTTATGGTTCCGTGTGTGTGAAGTCCTAAAGACTGGGAAGAACCTGCGCTCCCACGTTCATCCAGCACTACTCACTGTCACCTGAGGCCTGTCCTATTTACCATGACACCGATCCAGATGAACTTCAAGCAGATCCTAGAGTCTTTTACAATAAACAGGCCAATAAACTGAACAGACAGTTCTCAGAAGAAAAACCACAAGTGGCTAACACGTGTTTAAAGTGTCCAACACCCTTCACTACTAGTTAAATTCAAATTAAAACTACTTTACTTTGAGATTCCATCTCACCCCATTAAGAATGGGTATCATCAAGAAAATAAACAATAAATGTTAGCAAGAAATGTGGAGAAAGAGGAACCTTTATACACTGTTTATACACTGTTGGTATGTTAAACTTTTGCAGCCACTATGGAAATCAATGTGCAGATCTCTCAAACACCTAAAAGTAATGTGGTAGAGCAAGCAGACAGTGGTGGTGCACATCTTTAATCCCAGCACTTGGGAGACAGAGGCAGGTGAGTTTCTGAGTTCAAGGACAGCCTGATCCACAAAGTGAGTTCCAGAAAAACTAGAACTGTAACACAGAGAAACTCCGTCTTGCTGAAAAAAAAAAATCAACCAAACAAAGAACAAACATTAATAGTGTGGTGGTTTGGATGAGAATGGCCCCCATAGGCTCACATGTTTGAATGCTTGGTCCCTAGTTAGTGGAACTGTTTGGGAAGGATTAAAAGACGTGGTCTTGTTGGAGGAAGTGTCACTGGGGGTACATTTGGAGGTTTCAAAAGGCTACACCAGGCCTAGTCTCATGAGTGTGCTCTCTCTCTCTCTCTCTCTCTCTCTCTCTCTCTCTCTCTCTCTCTCTCTCTCTCTCTCTCTCTCTCTCTCTCTCTCTCTCTCTCTCTCTCTCTCTCTCTGTGTCTCTCCTGCCTGTGGATCAGGATATACAGCCCTCAGCTACTGCTCCAGCATCAATCATACTTGTCTGCTTCCCACCAGTGATGACCATGGACTAACCGTCTAAAACTGTAAACAAGCCCTAATTAAACACGTTCTTTTATCAGAGTTGCCTTGGTCTTGGTGTCTCCTCACAGCAACAGAACAGTGACTAAGACACATAGAACTACCATATGGTCCAACCGCACCACCATGCATCCCAAAGGCTCTATAGCCTACCATAGAAATGCTTGCACTTCCATATTTATTGCTGCTGCTGAATTTCCAATAGATGGGAAATGAAGACAACTTAGATTCAACCAACAGGTAGATGAAAATGAAAATATAGTACATACGCATGATGCAACTTTCTTCAGCTGCAAAGAAAAATAAACATTTTGAGAAAGCAGATGAAACTGGAAAATGATATGTTTAATGAGGTAACCCAGCCTCAGGAAAGCAAGCACTGCCTCTTCTTGATGCATGTAGCGTTTATCCATGTGTTACTGCATGGGGTGAAACGCTAGAAAGGTGACCGGGACAGGGGAAGCACATGTAAGGTACATGGAATAGGGAAAGGGCAATGACTGGGGAGCCGGGGCAGGGAGAGGAGTGAGCAGGAAAGCAGCACAGATGTCTTCCAGTCCTCAGCGCAGTTGGCACTGTCTAGCCGGCAAGCACCTTCTAGAAGAAAGGATCAAGCAAAGTTTTATGCTGAAATGTCTGCACAGTGCTGCCCAAGCACCTTCAAAGCAAATGAGACTGGGGAACAAAGTGGGGCCACAGCCTGGGGGGGGGTGGTCAAAAGCTTGAGTTCTGGAGCCTGACCTGTGACAAACTCAGACAGAGCTGTGGCCTCAGCAGCTCTCCACCAACCCATCCATTCATCCACTAAACATGCACTAGAGTGATTACCAGATGGCTTCGGAACCAAGAAGTCTGCAATGGGGTCCAAGACTCAAGTCCACAAAGTTCCAGGTGATACTAACGCCCCTAAATGGGGGGGGTCGTACTCTGGCTGCCTAGTTATTTGCTCCTTTTCAAAGTAAGTCTTTGTTGATTGGCCGGTTGGTTTTTGCTAGAACCCAGGAACGGGCACATGCTAAGCAAGAAGTCTATTATGGAGGGACATGCCTCCTCCAGCCTGTAAAAGTCGGTTCTACGTCTCTGCAGGAGCATGATGCCTCTGGAGCAAACAGCCACTGTTTAGGAGTCTTTCATGATAAATAAAGACTGCTGCAGGATGTGAGTTCTATGTAGAAGTAAAAGGTACTGAGCTCTGTTTATTAATAGAAAGGGAGAATGTTTGCTTTCTGAGGAAAATCCTGGAAGAGAAAGAAGAGACCAGAGCAAAAATGAAAGCAGAATCACGGTCAAGGGAACTTTGGAGCAAACTGATCCATGCCATTTGCTTTTACTGTGTCACAGCAGACTCCATCCTAGTGTTTTGATATTGCTTTGTCAATAGCATTTGAGGAAGACGTGGGAACAGCTGTATCTATTTGAGGTTGATATGGTGCAGAAAAGAAGCACCATGGAAGGTGAGACCCAGGCCAAGTATGAATGATTAGGCAGAAGCCAATGTCAGAATCACAAGTGACAGGGGAAAAGCAAAGCCCCTCCTCCCACAGCTGAGAATCTCTGAGGAGTAAGGACTAGACAGTGTGCTTAGAAGCTTGTGTATGTAGTATTGTGGGAATGGATGGATGGGCCCATAATGCTGAAGAACTTGGTGCTACCACCAGCTGTCAGCTAATCCTCAGCCAGGACTGGCTCTACCTGGGGACAGCATTGTGTGTTGCAGATGATTGGGACAGACGACTGAGGCAGAAAATAACAATACATTTACTCTTAAGAATAGAATCCCCTAAACACCCGTGGTGAGGGTGTTTGCCACAGTTTAGAGTAAGATAACCAGCATTCTCTGTATCTCAGGCTGGCCTTAAGGTCTCCGTCTTCCTGCCTCTGCCTTCCCAGTGCTGAGACTACAGGCGTGCACCACTATACCCACCCTGGTTAGTTTAAATTGCTAACATTTGGCCAAGGGAAACAAGGGAGGAAATGCCACCAGCAAGGATATTCTGATCAACAGATTGTGGTTTCCCATGGTCAGAAACATTAGCTAAGGGAGCTAGAGAGATGACTTAATAGTTAAGAGTGCTGGCTGCTCCTCCTGGGGACCCAGTTAGATTCCCAGCTCCCACATAATGGCTCACAGCTCTCTGTAGTCCCAGGGGATTCAACACCCTCTTTTTTTCTTGCCTCTGGGGCCACCAGGTACATGCTTGGTATTCACACATGCATCCACACATATAAAATAATAAAAAAAACTACATGTAGTAAAAAAAATAAAATGAGGTGGAGGGCTGGAGAAATGGCTCAGTGGATAAAGTGTTTGCCTTGCAAGCATTAGACTGAAGTTCAGATCCTCAGAAACCACTTAAAAAGCTGGATGCTACAATGCATTTCTGAGGAAGGAAGGAAGGAAGGAATGAAGGAAGGAAGGAAGGAAGCTTGGTTATTCCAGCCAGAGAATGGTGGTACATGATATCCCAGCATTCAGGAACCAGAGGAGCAGAGGCTGGAGGATTGCCACAAGCTTGAGGCCAGTCTGATGTACATAGTAAATTGTCAGTCAGCTAGGACTACATGGTGAGGGAGGAGATCTTGTCTCAAAAGAAGAAGGAGGATGGGCTGCAGGGATGGCACTGTAGTTAGGAATACTGGCTGCCATCCTATATGAAGAGATTACCTTGCTCAGCCTAGACACAAGGGTGTGGGGGGTGGAGAGGTGCCTTGGTCCTGCCTCAACTAGATGATGAGACAGACTTATTAGACTCCCTAGGGGAGGCCTTACCTCTCTGAGGAGCAGATGGGAGGTGGGGGAGGGAAGTAAGGGGATTGGGAGGAGAAGAGGGAGGGGGAACTGGGGTTGGAATATAAAAATAAATTAATATAAAGAAAGGATACTAACTGCTCTTCC